AACGAAGAAAGCACCGAATATAACGAGGGAAGCACCGAATATAATGGAATAAGCACCGAATATAATGAAGACAGCACCGCATATAAAGACATAAGCACCAAGTATAATGGAATAAGCACCGAGTATAATGAGTTAATCACCGAATATAATAACATAAGTACTCAATATAATGCCATAACCACCCAATATAATAAACAAAAGTATCATAAGACAGTTCTGGCGTTCCATACTCTGCAGTCACCAGATGCTAATGAGGTGAAATTTTGACCCAATAAGGTCTAATTTCTCATAAGAGACCACCTCCCATAAGTGACTAATTAAGCTTGGCATTTTGGGTGGTTGCTTACAGGAGGTTCGACTGTACTTAAGCACAACACAAACATTTGATGACCATGACTGTGGGCCAAGATACAAAGGGAGAGGGTGGGGTGTGTGGGAATAAACGGGATTCAACAAGAGATGGAATGAACCAGAGGATTGCCAGTTAAGCAATAGAGCACTTTTTCCATGTTTACATGCCCTCATCTAAATACAAGGAGGGTTGGGAGAATTCGAGACAGTTAGGTAAACCCGAGACGTAGTCTGACAAGGGTTTGCATAACTTTCGAGAATTCTCCCAACCCCCGAGCCGGGTCCGAAATTGCGCTTTCCTGGTCGCCAATGCGACTAAAAATTTTGCACTGGTGACCAGAATTTCACAACTGGTCGCCAGCGAGCGATTAACTATTTCATGCCACGATAATTAAACAAACAATAACTTTGATTTTCAGCCAAATCGATTAAAATAAAATTCAAAGCCGCCCGCCAATTGGTCACTTCCTTTTTACCTTCCCGCTGCTTTTAAAGTATAAAACTGATTTTCCTGTTATTATAAATCTACCACAACGTTTTACAGCTATGATCAGTGCAAAGCTTCGCCGCCATGTTTTTTCAGCGGTTTCCCATAACATACGTATTGTGGGTGCAAGAGGCCCCATGCATTCTTTCGCCATAAATCTATTCAGGCGATGTGGTATCCAAAGATGTTCTGAAATCTTTCCGTAATTTATTACAAAGTGGAGACGGAACATCGGCGAAGAAATTAGATGAAGATTTAAATATTCTCTGGGCATCAAAAGGTGGAAATGTAGATCTGTCAAAGTGGTCAAAAGATGATTTCAGCACTGGTTTGATTCCCGATTCCATCGATTGCAAATATTTTTGCCAGCAAGCCTGTGGCGACCAAAAATTTTGGTTTGTGTTTCGCTGCGAAGGAAAAATTTTATTGACACTTTTTGGCGAACACACTTTTCCACATGGCAACTGAAAAAAAATTCAGTAGCGAGTTGGCGCCTGCCGAAAAAAGTTAATTTCGGACCCTGCAGAGTGTCTAGAAAAGGCTATGTAAACATGGAAAAAGTGCTCTATTGTTTTTATAAAATAATTCCCAAAATTACGTGTGAATCTGAAACATCACAACCGTGTTTACATAGTTTCATTTAAACACACCTATCGACTAATGAGAGCGTGCGCAGTAGCTCAGTTACTTCATAATGACACACGGCAAATGATCCATCAAAACCTCAAAATTTTACAGAAAGAATTATGGGCTCATTAACTCAATTACCACCCAGAAATTTTGCAGCTTTTGAAATCTAGTTTCTTCTTGAATAATACAACCAAAGAACCAAAATAAACCAGTCACCAAGTTTCATTGGCTCTTTAAATGTCTGGAGTCAATTCCTATCTGGCCTGATGCTTTCTCTGCACAAGGTCATATGTCAATGAAGAAAAATGTACAACCACTCTTTACATCAGAGAGCTGCAGTGGACAGTCAGGTAACGAAACCTAAGTTCACAATGAGAACAACAGTTTTTCACCACATAATAATATAACCATTACCTGGCCATTTAGTTCCAGTGCTTTTGCAAAAGCATCGGCATTTTCAAAAGTGACAAAACCAAACCCTCTGGATCTTGAAGTTTCACGGTCTGTGATAACACGTACTGTAAACAAAACAATAGAAATTTACGGCCTGAAAATAAATTCAGTGATTCTGCCATCAGTTGTACAAATGTGAGGTTGCAGAGGCTCACAAGGAATGATTATCATTAATGGGGTAATCCTGGTAACACTGCCAACACTGTCCCTAGAAAGATGGCGTTTTAGTGTCTTGGGTACTTCCTAGATCATAAATGTTGATTTTAACACAAAAAAGGCAGAATACATGGAGCATGGTGCTTTCAATAATCCAATTTCAAATCACATAGCAATTTATGGATATTGTCTGGAACAACACCTTGCAATTTTTGATGCTGCGACAAATACATGTACATAAAAATCCACTAGTGTTCCACTGGCATACCATGGGTAAGTGGTGAACACAGGGGAAAATTGCTGTGTTAATTAAACATCAAAAGATGTCTTGCTGAGCAATTTTCCCCTTGCGTTCACTTCTTGCCTTAGTATGGCCACATCACTGCTAGATAAGAGAAAGCCACAAATTTTTCATGGTCATTGTAATGTTAGTTTGGCATATTTTACTACGCTTCCTGAAAATCATTAAAAAAGCAATCACACATTTTAAGAATTTATGATATACAGAAATGTACAATGGAACGGTGACTCGAGAACTAAATGGGAAAGATAGGGGGGATCGGATTTGACCAAGTTGCCGCAAGATCATGGCAAGGCTTTGCAGAGGGCATCAAGAGAATAAAAACCCAATAACTTCACAAGGTTTGTACCATGTTTGAAGGTAAATGCAAAGTCTCACTTGTGAAAATTTAGTCCCTTCTATAGTTTACTACAAGTATGTACAAAATAACCCTTCTGAAGCCAGTTGTCCAATGGTTTACTGTGTATATCTGCCCTTGAGGTTGGGGCATTTGATCGCCTAACATGAACCTAAGGTGGCATTTGAACACCATTTTTGCCCCTGGGATGGCAATTTGGCCGACTGAAAATGCTAAATGTCTAATGCCTGGGGGTTCCCCGGGTGTGATGGCAATTTGGCCGCCTGAAAATGGCCGGGGGGGTTCCCCGGGTGGGGAGTGTTCAAATTTTCGAATTGACTGTTACATTTCATATTCTAAGAACTGCAATCTTTATAAAACGCAGCAAAACGACATGTATTTCGGTCGATCTAACCGAGAATCCAGTACAAATGATAAAAAGAAACGCAGGGCTCTTTAAGTGAGCTTCCGTGTAGAAGTCAGGAGAAACGAGACGTCAGTGCTAGGATCATTGTTTGAGCTTAAAAAGAGAAAATCTTTAGCCTAAGTTCCCTTGAGATCATTGACGACAAAGATACAAAGTAAAGCTTACCATCAATAACTGTTCCACATGAGCTAAAATAACGTTCAAGACCTTCTTCAGTTGTCTTAAAATTTAAGGAACCAACGTACACCTTACATTCGTTGTCATCCGCCATTCTGGCTACGCTTCTTTGAAACAAACGTTCACACGACAATTTTTCCGAAATTTGGCCTCGTGTTTTTCACGACGAACGCGAGAAAAACCGGATAAAACCGGTTTGCAGTTCAGTTCGTTACCAGACTCCTGAATGATGTTGAACAAAGGGACATTTCAACCTCGACCCAGCGGGATTTTGAAATAGCCGATACTAAATGAATAAATGGCAAATCTAAGGTGAATGGTTTTGAGATCGAAACAACGGGAAACTCGAAAGAAACCGCGTTTGAATTAATGGGATCCAACTGCACCGCTTGTGCTGATGAATGCGCACATGTCACTCTAGGTGCGCACCAACAATTAACAAACGAAAACAATCAGAGAGCGAAGAATTAAGGCTGTCCAGCCGGTCGTTCCGGGGAGGGGTGGGNGGGGCGAGATTTCGCAGGCTTTTCATTAAAATACAGGTTTAATAAAAACAGCTGAAGACTGGAATGCCCGTGGAAAAAAATTGAATTAAACCCGAGACCAACTGGTTGTCAGTGTGGCTCGAGCTCTATTTGACCCCTAAAAGATACCACCTATTTATTTATTTATTTATTTATTTATTTATCTATTTATTTATTTATTTATTTATTTATTTACTCAAATTCAATTGCACAGATAATCAAAACGAAAACAAAAACAAAGAATTAAATATATATACAAGTATAAAAAGGAGATATCTGAGTAATTAGGCCAGTTTATACAGAATTCTAGATTCCTTATTTTGAATAAACTGCCTGAGACAAAATGCAAAATACATAGAAAACTAGCATAGACAAATCGCAGCAACAATAAGTGATCAGAAAACTATAAAAATTTATCCTTACTTAAGTTAAATTTGCTAATATAAAACTAATTCACTTTCTTACTAAACAATGATAATTGATCACTTGTCATAATCTGAGCTACAGGCAGGCCGTTCCATAAATCTACAATGCGATTTAAAAATGAGAATTTAAAAACATCGGTTCTAAAACGAGCCTTGGCAAGTATGGCTTCTGTATTTCTCATATTGTACTTATATGATTTGAAGCTAACATATGATAGGAAGTCAAAATCAATGTGCTCTTTAGACATTTAAAAAAGAAACATAAATCTAAAACCTCCCTTCTAAACTCCAGAGGCAAAAGACCTATTTTAGCTAAACGTTCTGGAAAAGTTAAATCACATTTCAAGATAAATTTGATGGCACGTCTTTGAACAAGCTCAAGGGCCTTGATTTTTTCTTTAGCGTAAGGAGACCAGACTTGAGATGCGTACTCCAACTGCGGTCGTACCAACGACTTATATAGAATCAACATAGTTTTTTGGTCGCAATCAGTGGTGCACGTTCTGCAGATGATACCCAACATCTTATTTGCTTTACTTACAATTAAGTCAATATGATCCTTCCATGGTAAACTCGAAGAAACATGAAGGCCAAGATCTTTCTCAGTTCAAACGACGGCAACCTGCGACCCGCTCAGATTATATGATGACTTAAAACGGAAATGACAATATTTTCTTTATTATTTCTTCGAGTTTGGGTGGCACCAGCTACGGGTGGAAGGGTCTGACTGCGGTTGGGAGCCGGTCAAGAAGGATCGGAATGCCCGGTAAGCCGGAAGTGGCCGAGAGAGATTTGAGGTGGGGAAGTGGACGGCTAAAGATAGTAACGCATCATCCTGAACACCCCAAAAGGCTAAGTGAGATCAAAATCAGAGGTTTACACCTGTAAGAGACGACGAGCACCCCCGACCGTTTCATATGGGAATTTCGATCCTCCCCCGGCTTCGTACCTCCGGGACCGGATCGTTCCCGAGGAACCAGATCGTTCGGCTGAATACTGGCGGGGGATGAGGATTTAGGATTATTTACTTAGTGGCTTTGTTTGTTTGTTTGTTTTTTCCCGTACTGCTCTGGCTTATTTAGACTTGCTAGTGTGGGCGGGGAGGAATACTTCAGTCTTTCAGCTTCACCACTACTCCCTAGGACGCTTTTCCGTCTCTCCCTAAGCCTCTTCCGGGTATAAATCCAAGATGGTGCTCTCTTGATCAAAATGCGCTCGCTCGCTCGCCAAAATGCGCCTGCATTGCAGGTTATATCCATGGTGAGACCAAACGAGTGTGATAAGGGTAGGGTAAGGTAAATTGATTTTGAGTCGTATACGTGGGGAGTGGTTGCCCAATCTCCCGAGCCAGGGGCTCATGACAAAAACGCACCACTACTTTACAATAACATTACTACTTACAATTATTATATTTGCTAAGATAAATTCAGAATTAAAATATAAGCTATTCCTAAGAGCACGACAATTTACAAGAACGTTACTACTTACAATTACTATAAAAGTAACTTACCAACGTAGTAGCTTACCAACGTGACAATTCACAACATTCGCAATTCGCATTTGCATGTATTTTTGCATGAATTCTTAAAGTTCGTCTTTGAAGAGCAAGATCTACCGAGAATTATTGATTCTCCCTGTATTCTCCCTAAATTTAGCCTGCGAACGCAGACGTATTTCCGGCTGTCACTTGGTTCCGCCGAAAAATAACGTCTACGAACCCGAGCCAGGAAACGATTTCTGTGAAGTAATGACTTTTGTTTCTCCTTGGCCAATCAGATTCCATGATAGAATGAAACTCGAGTGCTCCTCGCAGCGAATACCTCGCGCAGTAGTTCTGGGGNAGTTCTGGGGTTATTTGAGCTAAACTGTGATTGGCTTAGAATTCCTACGTCACAGAAATCGTTTTCTGGCTCGGGCTCGCAGACGTTATTTTTCGGCGGAATCAAGTGACAGCCGGAAATACGTCTGCGTTCGCAGGCTACCCTAAATTGAGAAGTGATGCGAATCAGGTATATTTCTGTCAGCAAATAGAAAGTTATTGGGTTGATATTTTTTGCCTGGTGCTGCTTTAGAGTACTGTTTTCTATTTATTTCAGGCAACTTGAACTTTGGCCGTAGGCAGACGGATTATTTTTTTCTGGTTGAAGAGTCAAAAAATGTAATCGATCGAGCGGGTGTTGCGAAACAGAGTTTGTAAAGAGTTAAAACTTGTGCTGTTTTAATTTTTGGGATTGTAGGAGTTTTCTCATCCAAAGGATGTTTTACTCAGTGCGTGTCTTTAAATGATTTGTGCTTTTAAAAGAGAAGCACTGAAGTGGTGTAGCACTACTGGAGATACTGACAATAGATCGTTTTCACATGACGTCTTCAAATTCTAAAATTCAAATCTTAATGAGGTGCTAAATGTATATACAATATGTTGACAACTTTTTAGCTCAATATAGCGGCCATTCCGAGCGTGGAACGTCTTGTAACAAAACCAATTGGAGCGAAATGGCCTTGCAGCGAACGAGTTTGGGCTACCTGCGGACGTGACGAAACTATGTCGGTGCACTGCCGGAAACAGTTTGCATGAGGAGCGCACACGATCTGAACGTCGAAAATTGAGATCATCGTGTCCCATCTTCATGGCGATCACGACATGTTGCTTGGATGTGATTTCCTTGTTTCTGGGCCTCAACCTCGTTCCTAGGGTCTCTGTTTCTTTCCGCTCCGTGGGACGGAAATATAAAGAAGAGAGACCCTGGGAATGAGATTGAATGAACCCGTTTTATCGGTCTCTTTGATTCGTTCTCCCAGGATTAATTGACCAATCAGAGAGCAGTTTAAAGCAAGGGTTGGTGCACGTGGTGTTCGATTGTGTTCCTGCGTCTCGTCAAGCGATTGTGGCCGACATTTTGGAAGGGTTGTTGTAGTTCTCTTGTTGTAAAGGAAGATTCTTTTTTTAACTAGACATGACTGGCGGTTATGGAGGACGGAAGCTGTTCGTAGGAGGCCTTCCTCCGAAGGTGGACGAAAAAGCCTTGCGAGATGTGTTCTCTCGTTTTTGGCATATCGAAGAAGGTTTGTATGAATAAGCCAACTGCTCATTACACAAGCTATTGAAGGCTGCTGAATTATAAGCTAAA